TTTTAAGTCTTTCTGCCAATATTGAAGGAAAAATTTTATAATCTGCGTTTAGTAAGGAAATAGGTCTATAGTACTTGATTTGTAATGAATCGGCATCCTCTTTTGGGACAAATGTAATATAAGCTTCTGGCCATGATTTGGGTATCTTCTTCTTTAACATAACTTCATTCATAACTTCTAGCAATGGAAGGTTCAACGATTCTTGTAGTGTTTTATAAAATTCTGCCGGAAGTCTATCTGGGCCTGGTGCCTTTCCATTGTTTTGCTTCTTAAGTGCTTCAGTTAATTCCATCATCGTTATATTGCTTTCTAACATTGTTTCAATCTCTGTAGGTATCTGGGGTAGATTAGCATTCTGTAAGTACTGTTTAACTCTTTCCTCATCAATATTGTCTTGTGTGTATAGTTTCCCATAATAGTCTCGTATAATTTCCTTCTTCTCTTTACTACCATAGCAAACTTGGCCTTGGTCATCTATTAATTGCAATATTTTCCTTGATTCTTTCTCCTGTCTCAATTTGTATGCTAACCATCTACCTGGTTTATTGGCATCTTCAAAATAGTTCTGTTTCGCACCTCTGATTTTCTGTGCTAGTTCTTCTTTTTCCATTAGTCCCATTTTATGTTTAATTATATCCATTTTTAATTTAATGTCCTTTTTCTGTGGCATTTTCAGTAGCTCTTTTTCAAGTCCTTTGTACTCATCCTCTAATGCCTTAGAGGCTAGTCTTTTCATGGTATTTCTTTTCCTTGTATAGCCTCTGGCATATGCCTTCATTGTATCCCATACGTTCTGCATTGATGTATCTTCTTTTTTGTTTTGTCTAAAGAAGAAAGCCAGTTCTTTCTCCATCCACTGTATGAAGTCTTTTTCCTTTAATATAGTATTATTTAATGTCCATCTAGATCTTCTTCTTTGTCCTTTCCATTTAATTGTCATTGGATTGTGATCTGCCCAAGTACTTGTTTCAATATTTATTTCTTGAATATTAACTAATAATTCTGTTGACATCCATATCATATCTATTCTGGACCATGATAAATGTCTGTTTGAATAGAAGGTGTATTGTTTAGTCTTAGCATTTCTTTCTCTCCATGTATCTTTTAAATTTATTTAATCTATCATTTAAAAAAAGGATTTAGGGAGAGTCTTTCTGTTTTGCTTTGTTGTTTTCTGTGCTGTATAGTCCAATTTATTATCTACAATTTCATTAAAGTCTCCCATCATAACTATATTAGCAAAGTCCAGTTCAATTATTTTCATATGTAATATTCTATAAAATTCTTCTTGATTGTCTTTCGGGGCATAGATTGCAATCAGGAGTGTTTTCATATTATTGTCCATTATTTCCACCATTAGCAATCTTCCATTATCATCGGTATAGATCAATTTCGCTGGGATAATATATTTAATGTATAAAACCACTCCTCCTTTCTTGCATTGTGTCAAAGAAGTAAATATTTTCCCTAATTTTGGCTGTATCAGCAATTGTTCATGTTGCTTTTTAATATATACTTCTTGTAGGCAGATTATATCAAATTTTAATTTCTCTAATTTATGGAAAGTTTTCCTTCTTTTAACAGCTGAGTTAAGTCCATTTATGTTAATTGTAATCAGTTTTTTCTCTTCCATGGTTATATTTTGTAGTTAGGTTTAGAAGCTCTCGTAGATCTTGGTTCACGTTGTTCTTTGACTTCCACCTTTCCGCCTACTGCACCTTCTTCCTTTTCAGTCGCTGTTTGGCAGTCCTCTTGGAATTCAATTAGTGACATTTCTTTTTCTGCCTCCTCCTCTTTCCCTCCAAAATATTCTGTATAAAATAATTCAGCTTTCTCAAATGAGTCAATTCTATGTCTCTGTTCTTGCCATGTGAACATTAAACCTTCTGGAATCAGCCATCTATAATTCACCTCTTTTTAAAATAGAATTTTGGTCAGAAATCGGTATTCTCTTCTCATCTATCTCACTCTTCTGGGTACTTGTTTCAAGACCACAATCTCCTTGTCTTTATATTTCAATGTTTTCTCTCTTGCCACTTGCAATATTTGTGTTTTAATGGCTTTCTTTGTAAATCTGATGTGAACTTCTCTTGGTAAGCTATTTCTCATTGCATATCTTGTGAAGACACGATAAACCTCATCTATTCCATCCATCATCTTCTCTTTAGTTATTTCCAGAGCTTCAGTCAAAATTTCTATCATTATCTCAACTAGGTTTTGTCCCTTTTCTTCATCTATGTTTTGGAATCTGAGGTAAAATTCTGATCTGTCCATCTCCCATCTCAACATCCCACTTTTATCTTGTTCAACCACAGTTAATCTGCTATCAATATCTCCAATCTTCTTATCTCTTTGTTTATCTTCTTCAATTTTTTGGAATCTCTCATACTTCATCATCATTTGTTGAATGTTCTCCACGTTTTCATCAGTTTTTCCTGTTCTTTGTTCAGTGTTTTCTGTTCTCTTTTCAATATTCTCTGTTCTTATTTTGAATTCCTTGCATAATCATCTGCAGCACCACTTTTTCCTGTTCTTTTTCTTGCTGTAACATCGTCTGTATTGAGCGTTGTCCTCCAGATGGTGAAGAGGAAGAAGTAAAAGTTGAGGAACCAGGGACTGTTAGTTTCCTACTCATTTCAGACAATTCAAAATCTTCAGGTTCTTCTAGACCTTAATCCACTTGTGAAATAACCAATTGTAATTCCAAGTAAAAATAGTTCTTCAGGTTCTTCAACACCTTAATCCAATTAAAAAGTCTCAGGTATAAAAGGATGCATAACAAAAAAAAGAAAGCCACAAAAAAAAATCAATATGGAAGGTAAATAGAAAAAACAAAATACAAGGGAGGGAGGGAGAAAAAAGAAAAGAGACTACTCCCTTAAAAAAAAAAAAGGAAAGAAATCATTAATACTAAACCTTTTCCTTTAAAATAAAATGCAAACATAAAAATTAGACTTCAAAAACAAAAAGAAAGACAAAAACCAGTTCCAAAAGGCCAAAGATCCAAACAGCTGTTACAAAAAGTAAGCTAGTAAGGAAGGGGTTTGTTAAAGTAAGAAATAACCCAGCTTAAAAAAAGTAAAAAGAGCACACTGCACCTTGTTTGATTATCCAAGGCATTTATTACAATTTATAACTCTCTTCTCCAGAGTCTTATCACCATTTTTTCTATAAACTTCAACACCAGATTCCAGCTCTTGATAGAAACCCAGAAGAGCACCTGCAATAATACTCTCCCATGCTCTTCCCTCTATCTTATCAAACAGGCAATGTCCTTGAAAAGAAGTCTCAGTTCTTTCTCAGCTTTGTCTGGTCAAGAAAAAAAAGAGAGAGAATATTTCCAAGCCTTTAGTTGGCAGTGCTACAAAGTTTCTTCTGCTTTCACTTTCCCCCTCCTTTTTCAAACAAGATATAATAAAAATTAATTAAAAAGGGGAAAAGATATTTAAAAAGATGACTAGAAGGGAGTTTCTAGCGTAAAATATTGTAAAGTCAAAAAGGAGAGAAAGAATAGGTGGAAGAAGAGAAGAAAAAAACCAGTCCAGTTTCAAAATATAAAATCATGTGTAAAAAAATCCAGCAATGAGAAAAAAAAATATTACTTTGACTTTCTGTTTAAAATCGCCGCTTAATCACTTCTGTCAAAACTTTTACAGATTCTTTCTGTTCCTTAGGGTGCCCTTTCAAATCTTAAAATAAAGAAAAAATTCTCACCAAACCGGCACACTTTCTCTTTCTGTTCTCTTTCGTTTCGGAGCTGTCCCAACTTCAGCAGCTTTAATGGCTGCCTCTTTGCCGCTGGCAAAAAGAGCTTCTCCTGGATCTACCAGGGACTTTGTGGTATCCCTGGGATCGACAGGACACACTCTTTACATTCACCATCTCTTCGGGACAGTTTAGATCTGTTTGGACTGTCCAGGAGCAAAGATAGCGGCAGCGATCTCAGACCTCCAAGATCATATGCCATATCGTTGCGACGCCAGCTCCGCCCTCTAAGTAGAACCATATGTTTTGTTTAGATACTTCAAAGTTATAGGGGCACTGAAAATAGTGACTTCTGATCGCTTTTCACACTTACAACCATTGTAGTATCACCATGATCACATAATCAAAATTCAGGCATTTGGCAATTGGCATGTATTTATGACAGTTCCACTGTCATGTGACCTTCCCAGTTGACTTCCAACAAGCAAAGTCGAAGAAGATTTGCTTAACGTCCACATCACTTAGGAAAGCACTCCAGAGGGTTAATGTCATTGTCCAGAAGCTCATTGGTTGCCCTCTCCCCTCTTTGGAAGAGCTTTATAGCTCCCACTGCCTTAAAAAAAGTTCAAAACATTCTCAAAGAACCATTTCATCCTGGGAACCCTTTTTTTGAACTATTGCCATCTGGCAGACAGTACAGAATAATAAAAACAAGGCAAATAGGCTGAAAAACAGCTTCTATCCCAGGGAAGTAGCTCTGTTGAATTCTGCTGTATAGTGCAGTGTTGGTGTGGTATTGGGGATTTTTGGTTCAATGTGTGGAGGGTGAAGGATGTGTGTTTGTGTTTATTTTCAGGGTCATGATGTGCACTGAAGATGGTGTTTGATTTCATTGTACGAGGTGCAATGACAACAAACTAAACTAAACACTTAATAACTGCAGTGATTCACTTAACAACTGTGGCAAAAAGGTTATAAAATTGGGCAAAACTCCCTTAACAGCTGCCTTGCTTAACAACAGAAATGTTAGGCTCAATTATGGTTATTCATTGGGGACCACCTGTATATTGTATTTCAGTGTTTCTCAGCCTTGCCAGTTTTAACTCCAAATCTGCGAGTTGAAGTCCACACAGTTGTCAGGATTGAAAAACTGTTTGAAAGTGTGAAAATGTAAAAACAATGTTTTACCACTTTGAAGAGGAGGTATGATAGTTTGTTATATCGCCAATGATACTACACTATGCACTTATTGTCATCATATGGTACTGATTTGTTTTTGTTGTGTTTATTTAAAGCTGGATGAAGAAGCCTCGTTGTGGAGTTCCTGATCAGATGAGAGGCAACTCTAGATTTAACATTCGTCGAAAGCGATATGCATTAACAGGGCAGAAGTGGCAACACAAATATATCACTTACAGGTATGAAAGCAAAACTGTGACCCTTCAATTTGTAATTTCTTAACACTTAGAAAAATACAGTTCTGCTGCTTAGTTAGTATTTGTGAAAGACAAAAAATTGGTTGTTGTCTAGAAATATGGATTTGAATGTTTTGAGAGAAAAAGCTCTTGAACTACAAAGGGGGAGAATGGGTTTATATATCAAATGTAACTGTGAAGTTTTCAAGGTCAAATCAATTCCTTACTTCCTATGTGCTAAGTTTTAAATTTATTTATATATTTATTATTTGATTTATGTGCTGCCTACCAATTTAAAATACCTACTGGATTTTAAATTGGATTTCACCAAGAAAGAATAAGAAGCAGAAAGTACTCATTTCAATTTACCAATAACAACAGTATGTTGCTATACATTTTATAAAGTATAGGAGGAAAAAAAAGCAGCTGTAGGATAGAATGAGAGAAATTAACTGCATATTATCAATGAAAATGTGAACAAGTCATTTTCTTTGACTTGTTTTCTCCAGTAAGATTAGGTTGAAAGAGTTGTGAAGAACAGTATTTTTAGCTGAAAAACCCAAGGACAAAGTTATCAGCATGTCCAAATAAAGTCCTGAGTTAAACATGCAGTGGCCATATCTGATTCCTGCTCATAAAGAAGAATGTCTACGGAGATTCTCAGTCATCCAAGTCATGATTGTCCCAAAGGTGTTTTTTCAAAAGGCCACTGAACTTTGTTTTTTCCTTTAAGACATTTCACTTCCCATCCAAGAATGTTCTTCAGTGAAGGAGATTCAATCTTCAAGGAAAAACCAGTGGCCTTTTGAAAAAGCACCTTTGGGTCATAAGGAAGAAACATAATTTGAATCAAAATTGGAAGTCTTTTCCAACTTTCACAGTTATTGTATGTTCTTGGATTCCTGAGATCTTACACAAGATTACCAATGCTTCAAAATGCTTTATCATTTTCTCACGAGATCTTGGAAAACTTTGGGACGTTTTCAATGCTATGAGTTTATATTTGTTTTTTATTATTTTATTTAATTGGATTCTTCGGGGAGATTTGAGGCATTCTGATGTTGATGGGTGCCTTGTTGTCAACTGTTCCTCTGGAACATAGCAATAATCACAAATTAGTGATGGGGATTGTGCCTTTTATGGAACTACTTATAGCTACTAATTATTCATCCCCCTTCCAGGATTAATGTTAAAAGGACAGTTCGAAGAACGCTGAACAGGTAGAGAAGGGATATATTTTCTTTTCACATTATAGAAACCTGATCTCTACCAATATATTTATTAGTTTATTTAAAGGACTTTGGGCAACAAAGAAAACTATATGGAACATATGTTTAGGGAATGACAACAACATAGCTTAATAAAAATTAAATTACTGTGAATCAATTTCATTATTTCTGGAAGGCAACAAAATGTATTTTATTTAATTTGTGATAAATAACACATTAAATAGTACATTAAACTGGGCCTAATAATTCATATTAGGTGACACTTAATCCATAATAGATCATGACATTAATGTCAATAAGTTGTTCCAAAAAGAAAGTAAAAGCTTCATCCCAAGATTTTTATTTGTATGTCCTGTCCATGCATGGACTGTTGCACAAACAATAACTTTCCCTACTTGGCTTAGTGTACCGGTATATGTTCAAATCTGTTTTTAGATTTTTTTAAAAATATTCTGTGGGCTGAAGATGGCAAACATTTTTTCTTTCATTTTTTCTTAACTAGATGTTAAGAAAATAGAGGAAGGATCTCTGTGTCCCAAGACTTTTCTCTTGAAATAGATAAGACCCAAGGGTCAATACTCACCCACTCAAAAAAAAAAAAAAAAAAAAAAGAGAGTTGAGTTCCAAATAAAATCTGAAAAAAAGAAACAGAATAATCTGTAAGGAGAAAAAAAAGAACACTTACTGGTATAGAAGGTAAAATATGAACTAGTAGGAAAGTAGTATGATGAATCTATTAGCACAGGGGTCCCCAGCCTCTGGTCCACAGACCAGCACTATCTCTGCAGATGCCAGAAACTGGGCCATACCAAAAAAGCAAAGATCCATCCACAGGATGCAGGCAGCCACGCATGAAACCACACTCCCTCCAGTCCTCAGAAAAACCTCATAACCAGTCCTGGTGCCCAAAAGTTGGGGGATGCTGTATTAGCAGTAAGTTATACATGAACACAGAAGTAAGTTATATATGAACAAAGGCTGACAATTAAAGGGGGAAATTAAATAGCATTGAAAATGGTATTTCTACTTAGAATTGGGGAAAAGGGAGTGAAATT